CTGCTGCGACCCGTCCTGCTCCACCCAGAGGCCCTGTTTATACTGAGGCGCTGAGCAGACGTTGCTATTAAGCTCGCTAGCCCCTGCTGGCGGGGGCTAGGCTAGAAAAAAAATACATCCGCCGGCAATAGCAGATGTATTTTGAACTTCATAAGCCACAAGCTGTATATCATTTTAACGCTTATTTTCTTAGCTATATTTATATATAAGTGTAAACGATATCAGACTTGCCATTAAAAAGATATAACGCATAATATGGGCACAAAATAAATCGTGTTTGTATAAGTTTCTTACCTTTTGTCTTCTGCTGCTCCGACAAATTAGACTTTCCCCATCCTTGCTTAGTCTCTTTCTCTCCGTAAGTCTTCAGTTAAAAAGAATATCCACATGTATTTCCCAAAGTATAATCCATTCTTCAGAAATAATCCAACAATGTGCATTTTTCTGTTGAAAAAAAAAAAAACGCTCCGAAAAATGTTCAGGCTTCTCTTTCACATTTCACCAAGTTTGAGCTTTGTTTAGCCACAAACATCATATGCACGTGTTCCTTGAGTCCTTAGCTTCAAAAAGAGAGGTTCCATGAACAGATAGGAGCAGGTTTCAGTCCGCAGGACCCTTGTGAAAAAGACAAACCGCATCCACTTGCACAGGGTCCTTTTTCCCTTGTTGTTGATTAGCATGGCTAGCGCTATGTGCTAGCACTGAATGATTGACGTGTCTAAGTAGCCAATAAAAAGAGCTTTCTTTTGATGGGTGGGACTTGTAGGAACTCTTTTCATTTTCACAGAAAAAGCGTGCGTAAAGACGCTGTTTGTTCTGCTGCGCATATTTTATATGCATTTACACTTTTAAAAAATTTCGTTTGAAAAAATGCAAAAGAAAATCACACAGATTTGTAACTTGTAACTTAAGTACCAAAACTAAAAAATATGCTTTTGTAGGATGTAGGAGTTTATTAACAGAAACGACCAGGCTCCTAATGCAAATTTCACAGCGTTCATACGAGGATCAAAAACGATGTAGTTCTAGCGCCCAGCCAGCAGGGGGCAGAGGAACTTTACAACACGACACACGCGGCCCCCAGCCCCAAGCCCAGCCCCCCCCCCCCGGCAGTATACTCACTTCCTCTGGAAGACGTGAAAGAATGCACCAACATCATTCTCTATTTCATCAAACCAGAGCTTTGCGTGGTCTCGTTTGAATGAACAAAGGAGTAGAATCCTCCGTTAGCGCTCGAAGCACATGTAGCTAGTTAGCTACCCGCTGCTATTGTTGTTTATGTTTGTTCTACTGCGCATGTCCAAATGTATGTGCGGGGAGCAGAGCAGAGGGAGGTGAGGTCAGAGCAGCAGAGAATTCACAGCGCCCCCTGCTGAGCATCTGAGCTGTCCCACTCTGAGGCTGGATTTGAACTCTTACGTTTTCACCTGGAACAGTCTCTGTAAGAACGGGAGGTAGTAACCCACACCAACTATAGCGTTTTATTGCGGCATTATCTCCGTGTAAACGGTCACAGAGGCTACTCCACCTCTGCTGCTGTGACCTGAGGCTGTTGCATATCTCCGACGGAAATCTGTCTGTCTGTCTGTCTCTCTCTCTAACCTCAGGTCGATGCCAATCTTTTGTTAAAGTTGTAAATCCAAAATAGTGGGTTTTCTTGAACGATGCTGAAAGGTTATGGATCTCTCTTGTGTTTCTTTCCGTTTAGATAAATGTAGATTAGAGAGGTTTAACCATGACCTGGTGTTAAGTGCTTTTCAAGTGGTAATTCTTCCTCTTTTACGAGACTGGCGTTGAGGAAACATACAGTGTGTTTGTGGCCCTGAAGCTCCGCACCATGAGCAGAGAGCCCTTCACTCAGAGGGGCTCAGAGGGAGTGCTGAGGAGCTGAACTGTGCCTGGGGTTCTTCAGGAGTGGGACATGAATACACAAACCAGAGAGAGACTGGAGAGAGGCCAGAGAGAGACCAGAGAGAGACCAGAGAGAGGCCAGAAAGAGACTGGAGAGAGGCCAGAGAGAGACCAGAGAGAGAGAGACCAGAGAGAGGCCAGAGAGAGACTGGAGAGAGGCCAGAGAGAGACCAGAGAGAGACCAGAGAGAGACCAGAGAGAGGCCAGAGAGAGACTGGAGAGAGGCCAGAGAGAGACTGGAGAGAGGCCAGAGAGAGACTGGAGAGAGGCCAGAGAGAGACCAGAGAGAGACTGGAGAGAGACCGGAGAGAGACCAGAGAGAGAGAGACCAGAGAGAGACCAGAGAGAGGCCAGAGAGAGACTGGAGAGAGGCCAGAGAGAGACCAGAGAGAGGCCAGAGAGAGAGAGACCAGAGAGAGACCAGAGAGAGGCCAGAGAGAGACTGGAGAGAGGCCAGAGAGAGACCAGAGAGAGGCCAGAGAGAGAGAGACCAGAGAGAGACCAGAGAGAGGCCAGAGAGAGACTGGAGAGAGGCCAGAGAGAGACCAGAGAGAGGCCAGAGAGAGACTGGAGAGAGACTGGAGAGAGACCGGAGAGAGACCAGAGAGAGACTGGAGAGAGGCCAGAGAGAGACCAGAGAGAGGCCAGAGAGAGACTGGAGAGAGACGGAGAGAGACCAGAGAGAGACTGGAGAGAGGCCAGAGAGAGACCAGAGAGAGGCCAGAGAGAGACTGGAGAGAGACCGGAGAGAGACCAGAGAGAGAGAGACCAGAGAGAGACTGGAGAGAGGCCAGAAATAGACTGAAGAGAGGTCAGAGAGAGACCAGAGAGAGAGAGACCAGAGAGACCAGAGAGAGGCCAGAGAGAGAGAAAGACCAGAGAGAGGCCAGAGAGAGAGAGAGACTAGAGAGAGGCCAGAGAGAGACCAGAGAGAGAGAGACCAGAGAGAGAGTGGAGAGAGGCCAGAGAGAGACCAAAGAGAGACCAGAGAGAGGCCAGAGAGAGACTGGAGAGAGAGATCAGAGAGAGGCCAGAGAGAGACTGGAGAGAGACCGGAGAGAGACCAGAGGGAGAGAGACCAGAGAGAGACTGGAGAGAGGCCAGAGAGAGACTAGAGAGAGACTGGAGAGAGGCCAGAGAGAGACCAGAGAGAGGCCAGAGAGAGAGAGAGACCAGAGAGAGGCCAGAGAGAGAGAGAGACTAGAGAGAGGCCAGAGAGAGGCCAGAGAGAGAGAGAGACCAGAGAAAGGCCAGAGAGAGACCAGAGAGAGACTGGAAAGAGGCCAGAGAGAGACCAAAGAGAGAGAGAGACTAGAGAGAGGCCGGAGAGAGAGACCAGAGAGAGAGAGACCTGAGCGAGAGACCAGAGAGAGAGAGACCAGAGAGAGAGAGACTAGAGAGAGAGAGACTAGAGAGAGACTAGAGAGAGACTAGAGAGAGGCCAGAGAGAGACCAGAGAGAGACCAGAGAGAGAGGCCAGAGAGAGAGAGACCAGAGAGAGAGAGACTAGAGAGAGACTAGAGAGAGACTAGAGAGAGGCCAGAGAGAGACCAGAGAGAGACCAGAGAGAGAGGCCAGAGAGAGACCAAAGAGAGACCAGAGAGAGAGAGACTAGAGAGAGGCCAGAGAGAGACCAGAGAGACCAGAGAGACCAGAGAGACCAGAGAGAGAGAGAGACCAGAGAGAGAGCAGAGTGAGACCAGAGTAAGACCAGAGTGAGACCAGAGAGAGACCAGAGAGACCAAAGAGACCAAAGAGACCAGAGAGAAGCCAGAGTGAGACCAGAGAGAGAGAGACCAGAGGGAGACCAGAGAGAGGCCAGAGATGTCTCACATCTTCAGGAAGATTGTTCCAGATTGTAGCTGTGTGAATCTGAACCGCAGCCTCCCCGTGGTTAGTCCTGACTCTGGGACCAGCAGGAGTCCATTTCTTTGCCCATGTTATTAACACATGTATATAGATGTGAGTAAATCCATGTGTGTGTATTTTCTTATCCCCTTTTTCTGCTGAAACAGATAATGCTTGGCTCTGGTAAAGTTTCTCCTCTTCTGTGTTTCTGGAGATCAGTAACGTCAGAGAGAGTCAAACTTATCCTCGCTGTGAATGTGGATCTCACACATTCTTTTACTGTAACATACGACGGCTCCGACACGTGGAAGAGGAGGAAATCTCACCCAGCAGAACAACAAAACTGCAAATAGTAAAAGCTGGATTTATTTAAACATGTACTGAACACGTTGTGCTCTGGCATAGATCTGAAAAATCACAGTACGGCCCTGAATTTATAAAAAGAAAACAAGGAGACATTAGACAAGACTTCTCTCAGTTATTAAAGGGCTTTTTTAAAACAGCTCTGATTACCAACCGCCCGACTCTGAAAAGAATTAACGGGATGAAAATGGAGAAATGAGGAACAGAAATATATTCATTTAAACAAATAAATAACATATGAAACAACACTGGACCACATTAGAAAAAGAGTTTCACAATTATCCTCAAAAACATGTCCTGACCGAGCCGGACACGTTTCCCAATGCGACAATAGACAAACAACCGCTAACCCTGAACTAGACTTTCTGCTCCGTGCATGCCTGCTGCACATGCACAATAGTACTGTCTCTCCCATGATGCTTTGCGGCGTCAGCGAGAGCACTTAGCGAATGACAATCCTCCAGGTTAAATCATATGTACACAAATGCAAATGAGCAAAAACACACAACGTCTCACTGCTTTCTTTGACCCTGTTTTAAGTACAGAGGCATAAATATATTCAAGATTCAAGAAGATTCTAGATTAAAGGTCCCATATCACGCTTTTTGACTTTTCTCTGCTTTAAACATGATTACAGCTATTTCTCTATACACACAGTTTGCCCAGAGTCGTTTTTCCACATCTGTGACCATAACCACTCTGATGACCAATATGACGCACAGAAGCCAGTTTAATCTGTATTTAAAATGGTCTTTAAATACTTTTGTCAAAACAGCGTAAACAATACACAGTAAGTATGATGTTTGTTGGCAAAAATAATAAACGTATATACTGAAATACTAAATACTAAATACTAAAAGCAGGGAGGTGATTGACAGATGGAAATAGTGAGTCCAGCTCCCGAGTCCAGCTCCAGAGTCCAGCTCCAGAGTCCAGCTCCAGAGTCCAGCTCCAGAGTCCAGCTCCAGAGTCCAGCTCCAGAGTCCAGCTCCAGAGTCCAGCTCCCGAGTCCAGCTCCAGAGTCCAGCTCCAGAGTCCAGCTCCAGAGTCCAGCTCCAGAGTCCAGTTCCAGAGTCCAGCTCCAGAGTCCAGCTCCAGAGTCCAGCTCCAGAGTCCAGTTCCAGAGTCCAGCTCCAGAGTCCAGCTCCAGAGTCCAGCTCCAGAGTCCAGCTCCCGAGTCCAGCTCCCGAGTCCAGCTCCCGAGTCCAGCTCCAGAGTCCAGCTCCAGAGTCCAGCTCCAGAGTCCAGTTCCCGAGTCCGGCTCCAGAGTCCAGCTCCAGAGTCCAGCTCCAGAGTCCAGCTCCAGAGTCCAGCTCCAGAGTCCAGCTCCAGAGTCCAGCTCCCGAGTCCAGCTCCCGAGTCCAGCTCCCGAGTCCAGCGTCTGTGGTTTGGTCTCGCAGACACCACATGGAGCTACTGTTTTTCTGCTTTCGTCAGCGTCTAAAAGTGTTAGGATCACGTCAACTTGGAGAAAATGTGTTTTGGGTGTTGGCCCGAGGAGGAAGAAAGCGACTCAACTTTTTCATCTGTTCTTCTCGTGGATCTATTATAATAACGGTTCATCTGCGACACTTCACTGAGACTGTTCCAGAACTACAGGGACAATGGAACTGGACTTACTCA